AGCGACAGAGTGTGAATAGAGGAGGGGCAGAAAGAGCGGGAGACACAGAATCTGAAGCAGGCTCTGAGCTCTAACCTGTCAACACAGAGCCTGACACAGGGCTTGAACCCACAAACTGCGAGATCATGACCTGAGCCTAAGTCAGACACTTAACTGATTGAGCCACCCAGGTGCCCTTGGTTTGCACGTTTCTGATGACAAGTGATGATATACCGTTTCTGATATGTTCATTGTTGGTTTAGAGTTTTGTATGAGTGAGTTGTCCAGCTGCTTTCCCCTTGGGGATTCCTTTGTTTTCCTGGATTTGGGAGCTAAAGCCTACCTGTTTAATCAGTGGGTTACCCCCAGGTGGAATTTACTGGACGCAGGTACTCTGTGTGTGGCATTTCTAAATCTACCTGTTGGCGATACATTGCAGCTGTGTGGGCTTCAATGCCAGGGCTGCCCTGGACCTTATGTTACCACTTTGTTCTCGCCAGTACCTTCAGAATAGCCCATAAGTAGAGTGAGTAGGAACAGGAAATAAATGCCACCACTTTCTTCCTTACTTATTTCTTCTTTTGCTCCTTTATTCAGTCATTTATCCATTGACCTTTGAGTTAGTCAATTATATTTATAAAATTATTATTTAGTAGTATATTGAGCACCTGCTGAGTATCTGACACCTTACATGATGCAGAGATAAAGAGAAAAACAAGTCTTTTGATGATGGTAAGAGAATAGGAACGAAGAGGGCAATGACAGGTGAAACACGTCAGCTCTGGAGCACGTCTGCCTGGGTTCAAATCCTGGTCCTGCCCCTTTGCTGCAGAGAACCTTGGGCAGGTTTCTTGACTTTCTGGGATTTCATTTTTTCCATCCGTAATATGGGGGAAAGAGCAGGCCTGCCTCTGGAGGATGTAAAGAATGAATGAATTAGTACCTGTAGAACACTTTGATGATCCCAGCGTAGATCTCTGATAAATGTTAACCAATGTATTGATCGCTGTGTCACCTAACACGTTTTACATTTATCTCCTATAATTGTTATCTATTTGGTAGGTATTGCTCACATGCCCATTCTGTAGATGAGAAAATGGAGGCACAGACAAGATAAGCAACTGTTCCTAAGGTTATAGAGCTAGTAAATGGTGGAGGCTGAATTGAGATCCAAGAAAGGGGCTTGTGGGTTCTAAGTCGTACTTAGGTCCCCTAGAGGAATGTATTTTTTCAAAGAGAAGGACGGTCGGTAAATTACATAATTTTTAGATTGTGGTCCATTTAGACAAAATACCACCTGCCCTGGATGATGTGACTAGAGCTGGGTGGGAATTGAGCACAGCGAGCAAAAGCCGGGGTAGCTGGAGGTGTTGGGGGAGCTCAGACAGGTCGGCCTAGGCCTGGTCGCACTCGGTGTTGAAGGAGCTAATCTGGAGTTTAGATTTATTTCCTTGTTAGTTTCTCAGCCTTGTACTACTGGCATTTACTCTGGAGAATTCTTTGTTCCGGGGACCGTCCTGTACCTCCTAGATTCCATTTGCAACAGCCAACCGTCAGGTGTACAAGGTGTGGACGATGAGCAAGATGGGTCTGGCCGCTGTGTCTTGGGGGCTGGACCGCAGTGGCAACAAGAGTGGGAAGCTGGTCCAGATGTGGTCCAGAGAGGGGTGGTGGTGGCGGCTCGGGCTGGGTGGGATCTCGGGGGTTGGTGAGAGGTGATTGGATTCTTCTCCGAGGTGTTCCCCACTGAGGGACTTGGTGTAGCTAATCTTAACTGCTAATACCCTGACGCATTCCTTGAGTGTCTCCAGATGTGAGGCCCCTTGCGTGACACATCCTAACATATTTTTGTTTTACAGATGAATGAAATTGAAGTATGTCCAGAGTGTTACCTAGCTGCTTGCCAGAAACGAGATAACTGGTTCTGTGAGCCTTGTGTGAGTTGTATTTCCTTTTCTTACTTCATTTTCAGAACTCATGCCTTAGAGGACTACCCAAGGCCCCCTTTTCTGGGTGGCTTATTTGATGAAACTTTGGGAGAAGATTTTAAATAACCTTTTTTTTTTTTTTTTTAACCAATAAAGTAATGGCAGAGTGAAAGTAATCCAGGTGGAAGAAACACATGGCTGAAAATCCATGTGCTGTGATTTCCTGGGTTTATTAACCGCGGGCAGACTGCAGGCTAGAGAGCAAAACGGGGCCCATTAGGGAGAAGGCCGTGAGGTAGTGAGAGTCATAAAGAAGTGTGTTCTTTGACGAATCTGTTTTGAGAGAATTGGAAGTATGTCTCTGGATCGGGTCTGTGGTGTTTCCCAAGTGGGCGGTTTGGGCTGGGGAGATGGGAAGAGATAAGTCACCCTGTTTTCTTCACCCATCTGTATTTTCCAGACCAGTGTTCTGCAGAGAGAAGGGTGTTCCCGGGGTGGGCTGGTGGGTGAGTGGAGGTAGGGCTGGAGTTTACTGGGGGGCGAGATTGGGCAAGTAACGTGGAAAAGTGAACCACGGTTTACGTCTCTTCCTGCCTTTGGAGATGAAGCCCCTGAAGAGTTGCAGCCCTCGAGAGAGAACAAAGGCGGCTCATACTGCCCTTATTAAATGCTGGATACAATGCCCATTTAATCCTCCAGCTTAACAGAGGGTGTAGGCGTCGCTGTCTCCATGTCGCAGGGAGAGGTGGACACTCTTGCTCACGGCCACCTCGGTTAAGGGCGGTGTGTTCAAGCCAGTGTTCCAGCCTCATTTCGTCTGTGGTTCGTTCTTCCCTGTTTTCTCCGTGCACCCCCAGAACCAGCTTCGCCCGGGCCTCCTGGCCTCAGGCCCTCCCAGGGAAGCCCATTTGGGAGACCCTGCGTGGAACTGCTCCTGTTCAGCTGGTGGCCTAGCTGTCTCTGCACATACAGCAAGCTTTGTATATGGCGCGTCTTGCTGCCCAATGCGTACAAACTCTGGATTTTGTTTTTCTTTTCCCAGAGCAATCCACATCCTTTGGTCTGGGCAAAACTGAAGGGGTTTCCGTTCTGGCCTGCAAAAGCTCTGAGGGATAAAGATGGACAGGTCGATGCTCGTTTCTTTGGACAACATGACAGGTGGGAGTCAAAACTGGCTGCAAATGTACAGCTTTAACTGAACCTTCGATAACTGTGACGCAAGCAGGGGGCGGAGGTATTATCGTGGCGTTTACTGTCGCGACACCAACCAGTGATCTTGTAGTTAAAAATACTGCCCTGTGCTGCGTTCCGGCTGATAATGTGTGTGGGCTTCGTTTTTTTCAGGTATGTGAAGAGAACAATCATGCTTTCGTAGTTGCGTTGATGACGCTGGCACCAGAATAGGTTCCGTGGCTATTTTAAGTGGTGCTGTTCTTTTTAAATTTTGTGGAGTAAATTGAACCACCGCACAAATTGCTTTTCAAAATAATGCTTTCAGGGATCAGAAGTATTTCCACAGATTGCCAGTAAATGAATCTCTTATCATGGTGCTGGGTGGTTCTCTCTCCTGTTGCCTTTTTCTCTTAAGCCAAATAGGAAATTATAAGAGGTGGCTGTTTTAACAGGTGGTAGCCCTCCCCCCACCCAGCGTTTTCTGCCCTCCCCTCTCCCTCGCTCGCAGGGAAGTGAATTGTTCTGGCTCTTAGCAGTTTCCTGTCCTGTGGGGTTGAGAACAGCAGGTGGACCCAGATGAGCAGCAGTTAATATCCTAGTTCTCTTTTAGTAAGTTACGTGAGGATTAAATGAGGCAAAACCCTTTCCAAGCGTCTACCAAGCAGTTTGAAAAAGTGTTTGAGTGTGTTGGGGGAGAAGACTTAAAATTCTGGGGGCGCCTGGGTGGCTCAGTCATTCAAGCGTCTGACTCTTGATTTCAGCTCAGGTCATGATCTCATAGTTCATGAGTTCGAGTCTTGCATTGGCTCTGTGCGGCCAGTATGGAGCCTGCTTGTGATCTCTGTCTCCCTCTCTTTGCCCCTCCCCAGCTCGCGGTCTCTCTCTAAATAAATAAATAAACTTAAAAATTATACACACCAATAGAATATACAGAAAGTACAGTTTATAATTTCAAACACCCGAGTCAGAGCTGTTACTCTGTTCACTTTGCTTGTTGCCTTGCAAATAAAGACAGAAGAGTGATTGGTAATCTGTGAAATCATTTACTAGGAATCCTTTGTCTGGAGGCAAAGTGGAAATTAGCTGGGATGGTCCTGGGTTTGATAGGAAGTCTTTTGCTCTATTTGATTTTGGACACTTTGCTGGAAATCTTTTGGTGCTGCCGTGGTGGGTCAGGCCACGTGCTGGATGCTGGGGATACGGGAGTGAGCAGGACATCGTCCCTGCCCACCTGAAGGCTGGCATCCTAGTGGGAAAGACACCCAAGTAAATACCCAAGTAAACACACAGGCAAGGTGGTCTCAGGGCGGGGGCTTAGAGAAGATCTGGGTGGAGGGACAGAGCCAGCCTGCTGTTTCTTGGGGAGAGCTGGGACACAGTGTGGTTTGGACAGGAGAGGGGAGGAGAGGATGGTAAGTGATGGGTGGGGAAGGGGGCAGGGTCTGGATCACACGGGCTGTGGTCAGATTCTGCCTTTGCTTTGAAGGGCAAGAAGAATTCGTGTCAGGCTGTACATCATTGTAGCATGGCAAGAGTTAACCATCTTGATGCTTCGGGATTATTCTCGTTCTGTCATATAACCCAGTGTGGATATACTGGGGATATAGGTGGGTGGGGGAGATCCGTGCCTGCCGCCATGTACCAGATACATCCCAGACTCTTAAGAGTCTTGGATTCTGTTCTTAGCTGAGCCCACTCTGCATGGACATCTTACTCCTGCCTGTCAGTTCTGGACGGTCTTGGGGGGCATGAGCTCTGCCAGCCCTATTCCAGAGGCCATTTTCCCAGAACTGGACGGTGTAGGTTGGTTCTGGGTGGGAGCTGTCGTGGAAGCTGGGCCCCTGCATTGGTGAAAAAAGCCAGCGGCCCATGTCTGATGCCCATGACGTTTGTCTAACCCCCTGTGTCTTTTGTTCCCTCAGAGGGAATGTGCCCAGCTGTTGGCTCGTTTTGGGTGAGGGGAGCCCCTTACGGGGAGCGATTAAGGGCACTCCATGGGGATGGGTTAGGGGGTGCAGGAATGAAGTCACTGAGAGCTTGGGGGAAACCTGAAAGGAGGAACGTCCCTTCCTCCCAGGGGATGTTCTTAAAGCAGAACTGGCCACACCCAGCAGCCCAGTGCGGAGGCTAAAGAGAATGGATAGGCTCTTTCTCCGGGAGCAGCTTTGGGGCTGTGGAGCAAAACAGCAGCCTGGTCCTGTGCAAGCAAAGTAGGTCAGGAGAACAGAGTAAGAAATGTCACAGCCCGTCACGTGTTCATCGTTAAGTTAATAAATACTGGAGCAGGTCCCGGGAGGCTTTTGTACAGATCATGGCATGTTCGGAATAGTCTCCTAGCGTGCTTTTTTGTCCCTTAAGAATGTTTGCCTTCTTGAGACTTGATTTCACAGACACACACACACACACACACACACACACACACACACACTCACTCACTCTCTCTCTCTCTCTCTCTCTCTCTCTCTCTCTCACACTCACGATACTGTACAAAAATCCAGGAGATATCTTCTTAAACGCACAAGAGCGAGCTGGCATGAATTGAGTGCCTTCTATGCACCAGGCACTGTTTCAAGTTCTTTTTGCAGCTGCGGATTTATTCCCATTTGACTGAGAAGAAAGAAACCTTGAGGCCCCAAGTAGGGTGTAGCTCAGCCCTGTGACTCTGTGGCCTCTCAGGACATTGACCCCAGAGGCTCTCTTTTGTTAAGCAGATCAAGCTTCCCTTCAACTGTGTCCTGGGCCTGCTTTAAGGAAAAGAAACCAGGTCCTGAAATCACTGGCAGGTACCTTCATTGAAGGTGCTTGAGACCCTGGCAGGAGACAGTTAAGGCCCTGACCCCAGATAGAAGGGGGGGGGGAGGGGACACAGTGACAGTGGCCCGCGGCCAGCTAGCTGGTGATCTCCTGGTGCTGCGGGGACTGGTCTAGGTGCATTTCATTTGCTCCCCTTGACCCCGTCCCGGGAAGGGCTCAGCCTCCATTTTATCGATGACAGAGCGGAGGCCAGCTCAGGGAAAGGGAAGTCATTTGTCCAGGAGCGGCGGGGGGACCCCGGCTGTTCCTCAGAGCTGTCCTGTCTCGTCCAGACTCGTTACCCCCAGTTGTAACGGCCGCGGACTCTCACCCAGAGGGCATCTGTCTCCTGCCCTGCCTCGTTCTTGCGGTTCCTCAGGTCTCTGTAGGATGACAGCAGCTAGTTGGGGTGATGAGAAGCTGGTAATTTACAGCACGCTGAGAGAGCAGTTAGATATTTTTGGGGTGTTTGGTTTGAGTTTGTGTCACGACCTAGTTATCACCATGAGTTGCAAACCTCCATCCTCTGCCCTGAATTTCACCCCACGCACACACTTTTATTTCTCCGGGCCGTTTTCTCTTCAAAATAGGAACGAGATTCCAGCTGTTAAAACGTGAGTAGAATGTAATCTAAGTAGTCCATATTTTTTGCTTGTCTTTCAAATGCTGGAAGACTCGGCAGTGTGGGGGGTCAGATTCCTGCACGGGCACTTGTGACGCTCCCATGTAGACGGTGCTTGCGTTGGACTGGCTGTGGCATTTCTACCTCCCCACAGCCCACTTTGCTCCCATCACTTTGTGTCTGGCTTGACTTTATGGTCTTTGAAATCCAAAAGGCCTCCTTGGGAATCTTCATTCCCGCCGGATTCCCAGCTATACATACAGGATGGAGGCTGGGGAATCAGATGTCACGCGGTCCGCCTCCTGTCCAAACCCCGGAGCAGTGGTCGGCTATACTGCCCTCTCCCGCCTGCGTCCGCTCGGTCACAAATCTCAGAAAAGCAGCTCATGGCCTCGTGAGGTCTCCGCAGAGCATGCTGGGATGTGGGCGGTTGGAGGCAGGCAGGCAGAACCAGCCGAGAATGGGGGGTGGAGGCTGTCCTTTGGTTAGTTTCCACATGAACTCTCTCACATCGAAGACACGCACCTCCTTTCAGGTTTACGGTTTTCCGGTGTTTCCTTCTAGTGCCTCGTAGAGCCCCAGTTTTACGAGAGATACGAAAACTGTGTGTGAACGCAGAGGAGTGGGCTTTGGGACCAGTTCTTTTTTTGGGAGGTGCAGTCCTGGCAGCAGTGATGGTTCCTTACTCTCTACTCACCCAGAGCCAAGAGGGGATTCATTATTCTTCTAATGGATTAAAATGACTAAGTCTATGAGCTTTTTAATGTTTTAGTGAAGATCGCTGTTCACATTCTGTCGTAAGAACATGTCTGTTAAGTGTTAACAGCTAATCATGTGTTAACCATCCAAACCAAGTCATTTAAAACATTTTTTGGTGGGGGGCACCTGGGTGGCTCAGTTGGTTCAGCCTCTGACTCTTCATTTCAGCTTAGGTCATGATCTCACGGTTCATACGTTGGAGCTCTGCATTGGGCTCCGTGCTGACATTGTGGGGCCTGCTTGGGATTCTGCCTCTGCCTCTCTCTTTGCCTCTCCCTCCTCTGCTTGTGCTCTTTCTTTCTGTCTCAAAAGAGAGAAATTAAAAAAAAAAAAAACTCTGTTTTGAGAGAGAACAAGTGAATGAGTGGGGGAGGGGCAAAGGGAGAGGGGGAGAGAGAATCATAAGCAGGCTCCACAGTCAGCATGGACCTCAACACGGGGCTCGATCCCATGACCTTGGGATCATGACCTGAGTTGAAATCAAGAGTCAGATGCTCAACCGATTGAGCCACCCAGGAGCCCCCAAACCAAGTCTTATGCATGTATGTATGTACGTATGTTTGAAAGAGAGAGAGAGAGAGAGACAGAGACAGACAGACAGACAGACACACACACACAGAGCATGAGCAGGGCAGGGGCAGAGAGAGAAAGAGGGAGACACACAATCCAGAGCAGGCTCCAGGCTCTTAACTGTCAGCACAGAGCCCAAAGCAGGGCCCAAACCCACAAAGTACGAGATCATGACCTGAGCCCAAGTCAGACACTCAACTGACTCAGCCCCCCAAGTGCCCCCAAGTCATTTTTAAAGAATGGAGTATGTAGTTAAGAAGGTCGACAGACATACCAGGCTAATTTGGTTTGCGTTAAGGAAAAAAATTCTGGAAACACCCTAAATGTCCATCGACAGATGAACAGATAAAGAAATCACGGTAGATGGATCTCATGGGATAGTATTCGGCCTTAAAAAAGATGTGACAACATAGCTGAACCTGGAGGACACGACGCTAAGGGAGACCAGCCAGGCACAGTAAGACAAAATGACTGTGTGAATTCCGCTTAGAGGAGGTATTTAATAAAATAGTCAAATTTATAGAATCAGAGTGTAGAATGGGGATAGACTCATCGGGCATAAAATTACCGTTAGCATGAATAAAGCCGTGCCTACGTTAACAATAGGGCGTGTGGTTCTCTTAAACTTACCGCAAGAAAACCAATTTTTAAAAAACCTCAAAAAAAAAAATAAATAAAAGGATCTCTGAAAGGACCAAAGTTGACTTCACCTCTCTCTTCTGCACTTCCTAGGGCCTGGGTTCCAATAAATAATTGCTACCTCATGTCCAAAGAAATTCCTTTTTCTGTGAAAAAGACGAAAAGCATCTTCAACAGTGCAATGCAGGAGATGGAGGTGTATGTGGAGAACATCCGCAGGAAGTTCGGGGTTTTTAACTACTCTCCCTTCAGGACACCGTACACGCCCAACAGCCAGTACCAAATGCTGCTCGATCCCAGCAATCCCAGCGCGGGTGCTGCCAAGATAGACAAGCAGGAGAAGGTCAAGCTCAACTTCGACATGACGGCGTCCCCCAAGATCTTGATGAGCAAGCCCATGCTGAGCGGGGGCACGGGCCGTCGGATCTCCTTGTCCGATATACCACGCTCCCCCATGAGCACAAACTCTTCCGTGCACACGGGCTCCGACGTGGAGCAGGACGCCGAGAAGAAGGCCACGTCGAGCCACTTCAGCGCCAGTGAGGAGTCCATGGACTTCCTGGACAAGAGCACAGGTCAGCCGCGGAGGAAGAGGGAAGAGGCGGGTGGGGCGGGCGGGGCAGGGGCGTCCCCTGCCACGGAGGGCTTCCGTCGGGACCACACCTGTCACCCTGGGCTGGCCAGCTGCCTCAGAATCTGGGTGACCCAGGCTTGGTGGCGAATGGTTAAGCTGCCCCACTTCAGCTAGGTCACGATTCAAGGGTCCGTGATGCCAGCCTCCCAAGGCCAGGCTCCTGGGGCTGATGGTCTGTGGAACCTGGAGCCTGTTCCCTGGCCCTCAGGTCTCCCTCTCTCTGGCCCTCCCCCCCTGCTCATGCTCTTGCCCCTCTCAAGTAAAATAAATAAATGTTGAAAAAAAAAAATTAAAAAAAAAAAAAAAAAAAAAAGAATCAAAGGGACCTCTATGGGGTTTTGCTCCAGTGGAGGACATTTAAAATTTTAAGTGGGTGACCCAGAGGGATTTTTGCTGTTAGGAATCAAGAACGGAGAAAATCGGTCCCCAAAGGCTAGATGGAGGTCCTTCCTCGCAGTGGGGCAGAGGTGGCCAGAAATCCTTGAGAGTTGAGAGCAGACGCCTCTTGGGCTATCACAGCAAAACTTCCCGTAAGAGTTTGTTTCTCAGGAACGTTACTTCAATCGAAAGACTGTTTTTCTATCCAAACTATACCTTCACGATACTTAGCGCTCCAGTGTTAGAGCGACAGGTAAGGTCGGCAATAACGTGTGCTCTCCCCAGAGCGCTCCTGACAGGTTGGTTGCCCTGATTGACACTTGCTGTAGAATGGCAAGTGGTTAAGAATGAGGCTGCCGGTCTCCAATCCCAACTCTCCCACTCACTAGCCGCGTGGCTTTAGGCCAGATACTTAATGTCTTGGTGCTTGAGTTTCCTCATCTGTGATGTGACGTAATAACAGACCTGACCCGGGGCGCCTGGGTGGCGCAGTCGGTTAAGCGTCCGGCTTCAGCCAGGTCACGATCTCGCGGTCCGTGAGTTCGAGCCCCGCGTCAGGCTCTGGGCTGATGGCTCGGAGCCTGGAGCCTGTTTCCGATTCTGTGTCTCCCTCTCTCTCTGCCCCTCCCCCGTTCATGCTCTGTCTCTCTCTGTCCCAAAAAAAATAAATAAAAACGTTGAAAAAAAAAATTAAAAAAAAAAAAAACAGACCTGAACCATAGGTTCTTGTTAAGGCTTAAATGAAGACGTGTCCACAAAGGGTCGGAACAGTGCCAGAAAAAGTAAGCGTTGCAAAGATGTTGGCTGCTACGTTATTTCTTACGGTGGTTGCTCAGCAAATGCCTACATGGATTCAGATTCAGATTCGGATTGGGAGAGCTGATGCGAGGGGGTGCTGGTCCAGTGTGAGGAAAGGAATGGTGACTTAAATTGAATTCTTTGTACCCAAATATTATTTAGCTGTCTGTTAAATACTTAAGAGATTTATTACTTCCACAAGGAAATGGGTTTACTCTCATTTTTCTTTTTTTTATGTTTATTTTTGAGACACACACACACACACACACACAGTACGAGTGGGGGAGGGACTGAGAGAGAGGGAGACACAGAATTGGAAGCAGATTCCAGGCTCTGAGCTGTCAGCACAGAGCGCGATGCGGGGCTCGAACTCACGAACTGTGAGATCATGACCTGAGCTGAAGTCGGACACTCAACCGACTGAGCCACCCAGGTGCCCCTATTATTTTTTTAATATGTATTTATAAGTGTTTATTTATTTTTGAGAGAGTGTGAGCGGGGGAGTGGCAGAGAGAGAGAGAGAGAGAGAGAGAGAGAGAGAATGAATCCCAGGCAGACACAGGACTGGATCTCATGAACTGTGAGATCACGACCTGAGCCAAACTCAAGAGTCGGACTGTTAACTGACTTAGCCACCCATGCGCCCCTTAAAGTCCTTTTTTCTAAAATATGATCCTGTTGCCAGTATGTGCTTGGATCATTTGGGGATTATGAGTTAGGCAGCCAGTGAGTACTATGTGTAGAGAAGGTGATTCCCCAAATCGTTTTAATCTCCCCAATTGTCCCCTTTTCTGTAAGGAGCCAGATAGTAAATATTTTAGGCTTTGTGGCTCTTTGTCCCTCACAACTATACAGCTATTCAGCACTGTTGTATTAATGAAATAGCCATAGGCAATATGTGGCTGTGACCCTGAAATTTGAATTTCATATGATTTGTGTGTTTCATGAACTCTAGTAACCCTTCAGGATTTTTCCACCATTTGCAAATGGCAAGTAACCCTTGTAGGCAATATGAGAGTAGGTGGTACGCTAGATTTGGCCCATGGGTCCTTTTGCTAACCTCTGTTACAGACCTAGTTAGAAGAAACTCTTGAGTCCGTTTCCCCATTTTACAGGGGGCAAAATTGAGGTCTCTGTGGAGAGTGCAGGGAGGCGCCTGTGCCCACAGCTAGATCCTGATTCTACTTCCATTTTCTTTTCATTGCACCCTACTGCCCTCTGCTGTCAGCAGCGACAATAGCGTTTGGTACAAGGAGAGGTGGACTATTTACTGAAATGCCCCACAGGGAGGGTATCATTGAGATGAGATTTTGATTTATCCAAAATAGTGTTTAAAAAAAAAAAAAA